TTGCTCAAACCCAACTTGTAAACCTCTTTTGTTTTGGTAGCAAAAGAGAGATATGTTTAATAATTGGTGTGTCTCGTTTTCAAAATTCACAAGCTAGACCAACTTTTCATACGATTCAAGCTCACATTAAGGGCTCAAAATGTAACTCGTTCCGGATTCAATACCGACATACAACCACCTCCATAAAATGGTATTCACTATGTTTAATTGAAGACCAACTTGCAAGTAGGATAATCGGCAACAATTGCGACAATAGAACATAGAGGAACATAATGCAGCCGCGGTTCAAGAAACTTAAAGAAGGAAGGTCTAAAATTTAATACTATTTTTTTTAATATAAAGTTGTTAGTTTGATTAAAAATAAAAAATATACAGAATTATAATGAAAATTTACAAGCATAATCGTAAACGTAAACTAAATTATAGTTAGGATATTTTCCTATAGTCGTTGACACAAAAACCAATCACCTAGATCACAGAAAGACCAAAGAAGGAAATGATTGAAAAACCTATCCAAAAAGTTTGAACAAAATAAAAATACGAACAAATTTGATTGTATAGGTAAACGAACCACAAATGGGATGGAACTATTGAAAGACTACTGACAAGCGACGTGAGAAAACTATCAACGCACGTAAAACGCGAATCCAAATCAATATGAGGAAGCAAAGCATGGAAGATCAGCATGATAATAAATAAGAGTCATCTTGATCAGTCGTGACGATGTCAAACCCAACCTTGAGAAAAAATATAAATGAAAATAACGACCAAATAACTGAAAACTATTAAAAACATAGATAAAAGTGCTATAAAGACATAGATAAACGTATTACAAAAGCAAATTTATTCTTATTAAAAACTGAAAAGAACAAAGAGAAAATACAAAAATAAACGTGTCACAAAATCCAAATATCAACATGCCTACAAAACAAAACAAACAGAGCTATGAAGCATATTGATGCTTGAATTATTGGATTATTTCATCAAAAAATGATTTTAGAGGTTATGTTGTTTTCACTTATGAACTATCCGTATCCATATCAATTTTCTGTCATTCCAAATATTAGACCAACAGAGAAAATGTAGAATATATATGAGTTAAGATTTACTTACATGAGGTAAAACTTTCTAGTTTTATGCATATTTAAGATTACTGGATGAATGAAAATAAATTGTTGGAATTAACTTATTTTTTTTACAGTGAATATCTTCTTATTTGCTACAAAAACTAAGGTTGTATTAATAAAGAATTATCCAAATAAATACTTTGTTTATGCTTATTATCTCTATTAGAAAGAGTACCGCAGTGTCAAATTTGTAAGAACCAAGGTCCAATGACCCTTAAAGTCCTTATTGGGGTGATAATGAGTTCAAATTCATTAACACTTGGCACACTTAAAAAAGTCTTAGGTGATGTTTGTTTTTGCAGAGGTAATAGGTCTGCAGTCTGCGGACCACATCTGCAGGCATCTACAGCAGAAGAGGTGGACCAAAAGTCTGCAGTCTGCAAGAAGAAGACTGTTTGTTTTTTAACGTCTACAAACTGCTAAAATGAACTGAAATATAAATAAACTGATTTTTTAAACTTAAAAGAGTTTTGGAATACTGAGATTTAAATAATTTTAGTTTTACAATATTGAAATTTAAAATAAATTATTTAAAATAAATCAATCCATACAACTACAATAATAAATCAATTCATATTTTAAAATAAATCAATCCATACAAATAAATTATTTAAAATAAATCAATACATACTAATAAATTATTTAAAATAAATCAATCCATATTTTAAAATAAATCAATCTATACTAATAAATTATTTAAAATAAATCAATCCATAGTTTAAAATAAATCAATCTATACTAATAAATTATTTAATATAAATCAATCCATATTTTAAAGTAAATAAATTCATACTAATAAATTATTTAAAATAAATCAATCCATACAACAACAATAATAAATCAATCCATATTTTAAAATAAATCAATCCATACTAATAAATTATTTAAAATAAATCAATCCATATTTTAAAATAAATCAATCCATACTAATAAATTATTTAAAATAAATCAATCCATATTTTAAAATAAATAAATCCATACTAATAAATTATTTAAAATAAATCAATCCATACAACAACAATAATAAATCAATCCATATTTTAAAATAAATCAATCCATACTAATAAATTATTTAAAATAAATCAATCCATATTTTAAAATAAATCAATCCATACTAATAAATTATTTAAAATAAATTATTTTAAAATAAATCAATCCATATTTTATAATAATTTATTTTAAAATAATATATTTTATAATAAATTATTTTAAAATATATTATTTTATAATAAATTTTTTTAAAATAAAATTTTTTATAATAAATTTTTTATAATAAATTATTTTAAAATAAATTATTTTATAATAAATTATTTTAAAATAAATTATTTTAAAATAAATAACCTTATTAAATTATTTAAAATTATTTTAATAAATAACTATATTTTATAATTGTTCTTGAAGAGGTTTAAAGACCTTTGAAGACATAAAACAAAGTCTGCACCAAGAAGAGCTCGCGCAGACGTTTGAAGAGCTTCTGTCTTCTAAAAAACAAATAGTCTTTAAAGCCTAATGTATACGCGTGGTCTGCGCGACGCAGATATAAATGGTTTAAAAAACTTGCATAGTAAAAATAAACACCACCTTAATGTTCAATTTGACCCTTAAAGCATTCTTAAAAAAACAAACTTTTCAAGGTACAGATGAGCAGCTCACTGCCATCATTCCTGCCTGATGCCGCCTATAGAATATGCTTGCTTACTTTCAAAGCCGACCCCGTTTGTGTTTTATTTAATGACCTAATGCTCATTTTAAAACACCCCAAATTGTTCATCTTTAAAGTAATAGCCAAGCTGTTTTCTGTGGTCTCCCACATTAACTATCAGTCAACCCCTTATTTGGCCTACGGGATTCTTCTTGACAACTGTGCAGTTTGTCCCATTCCTCGTTGACCTTAACATACAAACAAAACTACAAACTATATACGAGGGTTTTTATAACTTGTATTATAATTAACCCCCCACTATTTTATTAATCATTTTGTGTTTAGATTTTTGAGCAAGTAATTTGTGTTGATCTGCATAATTGGTAATTAGAACAGTGCATTGTTATATGAGGTCTTATATTCGTTTTATTCTAAATTCATCTACCATATGCATTTGAATGTGTCTGTATGTATGTATAGCTAGCTATATATATATAAGAACTTCGGCCCCTGTGAAAGTGAGATCCTTCGTCATGTGCAGGGATAAAACAATGCCGGAACTCGACACTAGTGTCGAGCTTCCCGTCTTCGATATCTCCCAGCCGTTGAGTCCGTCATCCCTCTCGTTGCTCTCTCTCGCCTGCACTCGATGGGGATTCTTCCGAATAACCAATCACGGAGTCCCCAAACATATTTTCACAAACCTCTATTCCCTCTCGAATCGAATCTTCAGTCTCTCGAATGAATCGAAACTCAAACTCGGTCCGACTTCACCCTTGAAAAGCTACACCCCTCATTTCATCGCTTCCCCATTCTACGAGAGCCTTCTAGTGTCCGGACCGGACTTCTTTGCCTCTGCACAAAGTTCAGTAGATGTTCTTTTCGATCACCCGAATTCCGAGTTCAGGTAAAAAAAAAAGGCACATGACATGATCAAATCTGCAGTGATTGTATTTATGGATACAATATATGTGCGTTTCGTTTAGACGTTTACCAATGTGCTTGTTGTGTTTGCTAGTGAGGCAATGGATGAATATGGGAAGATAATGTCGAAGCTATCTATGGACATAGTGAAAGCTCTGTTGCAAAGCTTGAGGGAAGATTTGGAGAAGAAATTTGTTGAGCCCGAATTCGGAAACTGCCACGGTTATTTGCGAATAGGCAACTACAGTTCCCCCAAAGACGAAGTCGAAGGGCTCGGTATCCATACCGACATGAGCTGTTTATCGATCGTTCATCAACACGAAATCGGAGGACTTCAAGTGAGATCGAAGGAAGGCAAGTGGATGGACATAAGCCCTTGTGAAAACACACTTGTGGTCAACATTGGGGACTTAATGCATGCATGGAGCAATGGGAATTTAAGGTCGTCTGAACATAGAGTTGTGTTGAAGAGAAACGTTAATAGGTTCTCCTTGGCTTTCTTTTGGTGTTTTGAAGATGAAAAAGTGATATTTGCACCTGATGAAGTTGTTGGGGCCAATGATTGGAGGATATACAAGCCATTTGTTTGTGCTGATTATTTGAAGTTTAGACTCATTGGTGAAGAGGGCAAGTTTGAGAGGGTTGGATTTACTGTGACAGACTTTGCAGGAATCTCAGACTCTTTGTACAAAAATTAGAAATTTAATGCTTCCTTCAAAAGTAAAGACAGATTGAGAATTAAAAACAATATTTGACTTTGAATTACATGAGATGGGATGGAATAGCTACCAATTTGCTTCTTCTTTTTTTACATTTTAATTTTATCATTCACAAAACTCAAACGCACATCTTAGAAACTAACATTGGTAAAAATATATATTATATTTTTACTTTTTTGGTTCTTCAAATTCTCTTTTTAGTAAAAAAATAATTTTTGTCACATTATTCTCTGACACACTATCAATTTAGTTTTTTTTTTTTTTTTAAATCTCTTTAACTTATCAAACTCAACCCAAAATCTAAAGAAAATAATAAAAAAGATTTGGAGAATTTTTATTATTTTTATAAAAAATATATATTCAATCATGACATTGCAAATTATTTAACAACATAATAACAAAAATAAGTAATTAAAAAGTTCAATAACTAAATTAAAAAAAATAAAATTTAATGATAAAAACAAAAACGTAATTAAAGTTGAATGGTGGAATTTGTAATTTACCTTTGTATATATATTAGTAAGGTCAACAACCAGAAAAAAACTGAAAAACAGTATTTCTAATTAGCATAATTAATATTTTCTGTTGCTGATTAAATAAAAGAGAGAGAAACCGAGTAGCAATGATTTTCGTGAACATGTAAAAGCTAGGCCACAGCACGAAACCTACTCAATCATTCATCGCAGCCCAAATAATCAAATGCTAAATAATTGAGATCAGACAGCTACCTAAATGGTGCACGTTTGTAGGGTTATTAAAATTTCAAAGCCCCCACAGAGGTCAAATTACACCTCGATTCTCCTGTCACCTGTGCTGACAGGGTAGCACATTAAACTTTGTTTCCATTCGAACCGCAACGCCTCAGCAATGGCAGCCGTAAACTCAGGCGGTTTGAGCTCGAGTCACGGCCACAATCAACAGGACCATAACGGATAACACCATTGCGATTCTCAGCCTTTCATCGAACAGGCCCGCTGTTTTTGTTGTCTCGTAGTCGTCGGGAGGCTGCCGAAACAACTGGTCGACGAGCTTTGCTATTTTATCGAATAACTCCAGCATCTTCGCTTTAGTTTTGTCGAAAATCCGCTTCACCACGCTCGTTGTCTCGCTCGATTTATCGAAGTTCTCGTCCGAATTCTCGTCGAAGCTCGTTGAACTACTGTCTTCGGGTGCTATAATCATCAAAAGTTGGTGTAAACCAAATGTGCCAAATAGTGAAACAATAGTCTTCAGAATGCATCACTAAATATGCTTAACGGGATAAACCTGTATAATATGACTTAACATTAATCATTCTAGAAGTATAAAGCTGGACAGATCAACCTGCATAAATTGACTGTCTGAGCTCCCTCACCATCTCATTGTTCAAAATGGCATTCCAAACAGCTTCATCAGAAGATAATGAAGTTACCATTTCCTGCAAAACAAGTTGAATTCATTCATAATTGATATAATTCTCATTTAGCAGTAATATCTATCGATATGCACATGCATCGTGCAACGGTACTCTCGTTCGAAAGACAACACAACATGCCGGCCATACACAAGAATCAAAGAGCTGGTAAAAGAAGAGACCTGAATCGTTGGATCTGTCTGCAGTAAATGGAAGGCGTCCGAAACGCTATTTGTTACGTAAGGTCCATTTGCTCGTGCGTTGTAAAGTTGCATCGAAGGCTCGATCCAGTCCAACTCGGACCCGACAGAACGAACCCTGTGCATCGAGCTAGTACCCGGGCTTGGAACTTGATAGCCTATTTCCTTGTCGGCATTATAAGAGGACTTATCCCTGATAAGTTCTCTTGACGAGCTTACACCAGCAACCCTACAATGACAAAAGCACATTCAACAACAATGACAGTCCAAGTCGTGTTTGTACGAAAACATGTTCTTTTTATGTCCCTTAAAGAAAACTACAAATGATTCGATTTTTCTAATAGATTATTTCGTTTTCAAACCATTCATTTTCCAATCACTTCTTTTTAATCCTGTTTTTGTAAATAAAACATACAGGTATCAAGTTGCTTTTATTTCCCCATTGCCATCACTATCAGATACCGCCGACACAATAATCATCAAAGTAGAAACAGAGAATAAAAAAAATGGATGATTTCATCATTCCATTCCAATACATACAGAAATGGATAAATCAAGCAATATTATTGTTCATTCCAATTCAAAAGTTAAACCGACAGTAAATGAATAAATAAGCCGACCTTTGAAGAGCAGAGACAGCATTTTGGACTTCGGAAAAAGAAGGGACAGGTCCTAAAACAAAATCACGCGGCTGCATACTATCCCCCTCACGGCGGGGCACCCACTCAAAGTCATCAAAACAAGGAGGACCCGCAGAGAAGGCAGGCGACGGCGACCCAGAATCGGCAGTGATGGGGACGCCACTGGCTATACCCAAAGAAGAACTCCCAGAAGAAGAAGAAGGAACATGAAGATAACTATTGATATTGGTATTATTATGCCTGCGGGTTGCACTTGTAGAAGAAGAAAGGGGTTCCTGGAAAGCTGCGGTAGGGTTTTTGGAAACTGCTGCCCTTCCAACGATTGTTCTCAACATGTTGGCTCCTCCCGTACCCCATCCCATGCCTTTGCCGCCTCCACCAAGCATCGTATGCCTTTGCCCACTGCAAACACTTTGGGCTGCTTGACGATTACCAGATAATTTTCTTTCGAGCTTTTCAAGTTTGGATAGGATAGGATTGGATTCTAATATTTTTTTTTTTAGAAAAATATATAGGATATGATTCGATTGGACAGGAAAGTGTTGTTGTATGTATGTTTGGGTATTCTACATTTAGTACCTAAACTATTAATTTTAATCTATTTTAGTACTTAAACTTTTATTTTTTTCAAATCATATTTAAAGTTAATTTTTATTTTATTTTAGTACTCTTTTGTTAAAAACTTTAATTTTTATTTCACTTCAGTACTTTGTTCAAAATTTAACATTAAATTTTTTAAAAAATGAAAGTTTCGATACTAAAACGAACAAAAATTGATATTTTAGGTAGTAAACAAGTTAAGTTTTTAACGGTGAGATACTAAAATAAAATGAAAACTAAACATTACGTATGATTTTGAAAAATAAAAAATTTAGTTACCAAAACGAACTAGAATTAATAATTTAAGTGTTAAATGCATAATTTACCCTACCTGTTTTCTTACCCTTCATTACGGATGATAGATGGGTATAATTTCGTAGATTCCCCACTGTACCTGCTCTAATTGGGACATGGATGTGTATAAGTTTAGTGGGGTAATAGGTGGGTGTGGATGTAAAAAGTCATATCTTTTGTGAGTAATCCTCCAGGTGGTAGTGGTCCCCCAGCAGGTGGTTACAACCATCATTTCACGTGCAGAGCTAGCTGTCCTCATACAGAAACATCTTTTTGTTGTTTTCTGTTCCAGAAATACCAAGGCATTTTAATATGCTTCAGCAATATGTGATGCCGCATTACTTCCCAGAGAGACCTTTTGCTTGCTATTTCCTGTATACCACAAACAACTACACCTTTCTCTCATACAACACCTTTAAGAGATAAAACATCAATACCACCACAAATGCAACTATATGCAACTACATGATCCTAAAATGACTAAAATGAGCTTTTAAACAAACAATAACTTAAGTGAAAAAGGCCTTAAAAGTAGATTTTTAGGAAGTTATCACACCCCAAACTTAAGCTATTGCTTGTCCTCAAGTAATGGATAACAGTTACATAAGCAGAATGCCATGGCAATTTTCAACAATAGAATAGAATGACAGAAATTGAATTTTAACCCTCAGAAAAATTTAGGCTTCAACATGTTAGACATATCAAGAATTCAAGTACTTTTCCCTAGGTCAAGATCCTTTGTCGTAGTGTGTGTGCATAATTATATCCCATATATACTTAACAAACTTAGACAATTTCTAATCAAGTCTCCTAGTTTTTGCCAAGGCATTTACTTATTCATTAAGCACATTTTTACTCCATTTTTACTGAACTTTTTTAATAGATACTGCTACGAAAGGAGTCAGCTCTCAGTCAGATTTAATCTATTTTAACTTCACTTACTCGACAGGGTTTGCTGAAAGTGCTCCCGCTATCTCTAGTCAAAGGAACCTTAACAGAATAAAATGCCACGACATCTGCTCTCACTCTTAGCTATGACAGTCTACACTATTGACACTATAAAACTACCCTTTTTAGTCGTTGAAATCCTATCTTAGTCTCTCTCGAGTACTAAAGGATTAGGATATAGTATTCCTAGACCAGTTCAAAGGTCATGAAAATACCATAGCCCATTGCTTATGAGTATCTTGTCTTGTGTTTCTCTCAAATACTACAAGTATTTTTAGCTAGGTTTCTCTCGAACACCTAACCTTCATCTAAGAAATGGACACTCCCATGCCTCTTACAAGCTTAGATGATGAAGCATACATAAGCAAAGCAAGCAAATAACAAAAGATAAACATAAATCACCATTAAAATAAATTTTAAACATCCATCAAAACAACCCACTCCAAATAAGGTTAAGTCATGGTGGGGATGATTCATAGAACAAGCCATGAAAATATTCGTTCCAACAACCCAAGAAATAATAGAAAAATAACAGCAAAGGGAAGTGAGAAGAAGCCTTCAACGAGCACCACCGGAGGTCTCCTCGGCCACCACAAACCACCTTAGCTCGCTAGCTCCTCTCAGACGCCTAGCTCGCCACTCCTTGGAGCTTATCAATAGAAGAACACCACTCTAGGAAGAAGAAAGGGAAACAGTGAAAAAGAAAATAAAATAATGCTGAAAATCCTCTGTCTCCCTATGATCTTTTGTTCTCTCTCTCCCTTGTGAGGTGTAATATATAATAAAACTATCTAGGGGTAATGATGAGGTTGTTGGGTGCAAAATACCCCTCATACCCCTAGAATCACACCTTGTACGTGAACCTTGGGTTTGAGACCTTACCCACCCCGCATCCACCCTCCCTGTATTCGCCTGCCTCGTATCTGACCACCTACTAATTACTCAATGCATAAATTTTATACCATTATAAATTGGGTTAATTACCTCATTCATACATGAAGTATGTCAAATTCTCAGTTTCATACGTAATATTTTAAAATTCTTGATTTTATACATGTGTTTTCTGCCGTTAACGGGTTCAACACTTTCGTTACAAAAAGTGACATAGAACCCTGTGATCACTGACAAAATGACACGACACTTTATAAAAAAAATAATTTTTTTTATTTAAAAAAACTCATTTCCTTCATATTTTGACAAAAACATAAAACGATGTAAGTATGTGTTAAGTGTTACAGTTTTTATTTTTATTGATTTACACCGATATAAGTATATGTTATATGTTTTTGTCACAATAAGGAAAAAAGAATTTCATTTAAAAAAATAAAATTTTTTTTTTTTAAATATCATGTGTTATTTTGTCAGTGATCACAGAATTTCACGTAGACAAGCATGAATTTGAAAATGTACCGCGTGAGTGGATATAAATTTGAGAATAGTAGATAGGTTATAGATATATAAATATTAAATGTGTATAGAGATGAGGGAAGATAATCCGCACCACCCAGCCCGTTTACGGTCCCTGCCTTCATCTATGGAATTGGAGTAGACTTATGCACACGGGTGGGCCCGGCTCTACCTAAGTTAGATTTGAATAGGTAGACGTAGATGATTGGGTTCGATTTACTGAACTACATTAAAAGGATCAATTTAGTTATTACATTTTTAAAATGATTACTAAAAAATAATATTCATTATAATATTTTAGTAATCATTTTATAATAATCATCAAATTAAATAGCATTAATAATCATAATTTTTTAAAATATTTTATATTTATACTTTAATATTAATTTTATAATTTTACAAATATAATGATCAAAATTATCATTTAAATATAATTATGTGACATTTTATAATATTCTACTCATAATTTAAATAACATTTATAAATTAAAAACAAAACCTATGAAGAAAACATTTTGTCCAATATGTACGAATTAAAGTGACCTATGTGATAAAGAAATTGTTGTTATTTTTTGAGGACACAAGTTTGAGCATCATAGATGTCATGGGTAAGAGAACATACACTACCATATACTTACCCTATGTTATTAAAAAAATACATTTTGCCCAACCTGTGTAGACAAAAAAATGGGGAATAGATGCGATTAGATACCCTGATAATCTTAGTCGTAAATAGAAACGAACGTAGAATTTTATATTAGAGGATAAATTTTAAAAAAATTAAAGGTAAATATATTTATAAAATTTTAGGAGGATAACCGCCCCACTCCTTAATCTATCCCAGAGGCGGATGTACATAATTCTATAGGGGAGCCATTGCACACCCATTATTTTGAGAAAAGTGTTAAATTTAATTTAGTTTAATAATGAAAATAGGAAAAAAGTTACAAAAATTGCACACCTAAATTATTTTAGAATCGATTATTAAAATTTTGAATCTCATTTTTTAATTTCTAGATCCGTCATCTATCTCTAATCGTAAAGGATAAATACTTGATGCAATGTATATCAATTTGTACAAATTATATAAGGCTCTAATATACTTCTTATGAAAATCAAACTTCGATCGGACACAGTCCATCAGCATTAAATTTTTTATCCTTCAAGACCAACATTCAACGAAAACGAAAGGAAAACACAAGTGGATTAATTTTAGCTCTCGAGATTATTATGTATTTTTTGTTTGCATTTTAGGTTTATGATATTTTTTTAATAACATTTTATTTAAATTTTGATCTTATAACATATTTCTATAAATTAAAACATCTTATCATTATTTCAATACTTGGTAATTTAATTATTGTGATTTATATAAATTGTTTTTCACAACCCACATGATTTATATTGATCTTCTAGGTTTTATGTTCTAGTATCGATCTCAAGGAGACTTACTCTTAAGTTGAACTTTTTATTTTGTTCTTATATTTAACTAAAATAGATATTAGTGTTGATTAATTAAATTCCCTAATAAAATTATACAGATAAAAAAGTATATAAAATTAAATTCATAAATAAAGGGACTAAAATCAGAATTTGACCCCAAATATTTCATATTTAAGTTAGATTTTGTGGGCCTTAGTATAAGCGGAGTCCACTTGGACCCGTTTCAATCCTTCATGGCCCAATTATTGGATCGACCAAACAGTCCACTTGAACCGAACCCAGAAAAGGGTAAAATGGTGAATTCATGTTACACGATGCCGTTAAACCCTAATGAGACCCCAAGTCCATCATATTTATATCTCTTACGTTTGAAAGCTACTTAGCCGGAGCCAAAGGCCGCAGGGAGTTCAAGCAGCCGGCTCTAATAATCATGGTTTAACCAGTAATAGCTTTATCATTTTATTTCTTATTTTTCGTTGATACGATGATTTTCTATCTTGGATTTGTTTGTATATTTGTGTTTGTTGAATGATAGTATTTTCTCAGCTTGATTTATTGTCCTTCGTTGATAGAACCTGAAACTTTTCGAAGGTTTGTTTTTGGTTCATCAATAATTTAGCTTCTCAGCTTTGTTTTCGTTTTGTTACATAGTATAAATGGCCTTTTGGTTGACTGGATGTTTCTTAAAATGAAAATGATTACATTTATTAGCTTATATATATTTTTGGCTTGGCGCTTTGAGTTATGATTTTATATTTGTTGGGATTTTGTGAATCTAGGAGCTTACAAGTAAGTCTCAGAGCTATGAAGGAAGAAGCAATCCGATGTGATGAGGTTCTTGCAGAGAGTCAGGTGCTGGGAGTATTGTCAACATCATGCAATTGTGCGAGTTAAGCACCCGACTCGCCCCGACAAGGCCCGTCGCTTGGGATACAAAGCCAAGCAGGTAAACCGATTCATTGTTTCTTTAATCTACTTTCTGCCATTCCATTATTGTGAGGCTTTGTTTCCTATATAGTAAATTGTGGTAGATTTATCTTTTTCTGTTATGATTTGCCATCATTTGTGAATCAATGAGATTTTTGGGCGTTACAACTTTATGTGCCTGTTTGTTATGTCTGGTGATTAAATCTGCTTCTTATTAGGGTTATGTTGTCTATTGTGTTCGGGTGAGACGCTGTGGTAGGAAGAGCTGGTCGAAAGCAAGTGATCAGTTGGAGGAAAGAGATGGTCGAAAGCTTGGTAGCCTTAGGGTTGTAAATTCATATTGGATCAATGAGGTGTACAACAAATAAAGCACCTCTCTTTTAAGACAATAGTTATTAAGACATTAGCTATCCTTTGACCTAAGATTTCATTAACAGTGATTTATCATCTTATTCTTGAAGTGAAGAATCTATGAACACCGTTATCATTTATATCTTGCATCTTAATAGAGCAATAGCTCTTCTCATATGGAAATTGTGGCCAACTCTTTTTGTTGGATTCCTTATTTTAAAGTTTTCAGGATTCAACTTACAAATACTTTGAGGTCATCTTGGTTGATCCTGCCCACAATGCTATCCTCAACGACCCAAGAATCAACTGGGTGCACAAGCACAGGGAACTCCGAGGACTCACCTCTGCTGGCAAGAAATTCTGGGGTCTTCATGGCAAGGGGCACTTGCACCACAATGCTAGGCCTTCAAGAAGGGCAAACTGGAGGAGAAACAACACTCTCTCTCTTCGTCACTACCGTTGATTCTTCCGAGCCGCATCATTCGTTCTTGTTACACCTTACCTTCATATATTTTGTAAGGATGAGAATTCTGAGACTGATAATATGTTTGTGTTTATACCTCTATGATGAAGATGTGTGGAGAAAAAACTTCCTTCAAAGTGTGTAATGCTATGATGCTGAGTGGTCATACTTGAGTGTTGGTTAAACTTAAAAATAGTGAATGCTTATGCCTATTGAAGGTACATTTACTCGATGAACAAATGAGATCGGGTTAGGTCATTTGTTATGCCATAAATTTGAAGTATGTTATATACATGGTAAATTTGATTTTATTGAAAGTAAAATGAAGAGCCTAATCCTGTACGAAGTTTCTTGTTTTAGATTATAAAATTGGTTGAATTTGAAGAAAAGTAAAATTTGAATGACTTGAATTAAGTTGAGTTAAAGTTATTTGATTATGTAGAAAGTTGGTTAATTCGTTTTAATCATTGAATTAAACTACTAGTAATTTTTTAGATATATTTTAACAATGAAGGTAAAATAAAATAATGTTATGTTAATAATTGTGATAATAATTTATAAATTTAGTTACACAATCAAATTTGTACCTACAAGAAAAAAATAATTAAATAAAAACTCTAATCGTTTTCTTCCTCTTCATCTCTTTTTATTTTGTTTTCTTTACAACTTGTGTTAATTTTATTGATTAATATGGTTTTTTTTTTTAATTTTGTTTAACCGGCGGCTACATCGATTTTAATGCTAGTTGTCGCCAGCCCATTATCTTTTTTTCTTTTTTTTCTTTTTTATTTTTTTAACAAGAATAATTATATATTTGTGACATGTTCTCTGTCTTTATGACACATTTATCTATGCCTTTGTGATATGTTTTTCTCTGCCTTTTGGAAGCTTACGGTTTTTTACCGTTGTTTACGGGTTTTTTTCTCAGGGTTAGGTTTAATATCACTACGACTGATCAAGATGATGCTTATTTATTATCATGATGATCTTCCTTACTTTGGACCCTCAGATTGATTTGGATACACATTTTGTGTTCGTGGATAGTTTTCTCACATCGTTTGACTATGATTTGCGATTTATCGATGATCTTTCAGTAGCTTTATCATTTTTTGTGGTTCGTTACCGATGCAGTTAGATTAGTTCGTATCTTTATTTTATTCGAGTTTTTTAGTTAGATTTTTTAACATTTTTCTTCTTTGGTCTTTATGTGGTCTAGGTGACTAGCTTGTGTCTCAATGATAATAGAAAAATGTCATAATTATATTTTATGTTTAAATTTTACTTGTAAATCTTCATTGTAATTTGGGATATTTACTATTTTTAATAAAACTAACTACTTTTTAGCAAAAAAAAAATTACACAATCAAAATTTGTATATTACATTGTATATTTAACGAAAACTTATCCATACTTTTAAAGTTTCTCTCTAAAATTTGGAAGTTACAAAAATGCACTGTGACAAGATTATAGTATAGGGACTAAAACTGTGATTTACACATAGTATAACTACTTATCACGAAATATCACCACATTAAGCCTTAAACCCTTGAAATCCTCTTCCCATTGACATCCTTGTCTTTGCTGCCTGCAACTCCAAACAGGAATCATGAATCGATCCAGGGGAATACTCGCCTCTCTCAGACTCGTCAGCTCGGTTCTTTCGACTCAACTCAGCTCAGCTCCTTCCGTCTCCATTCAGGTGATTCGCTTCTCCTCTTCGCATCTCTCATTTCGACCACGCTCTCCTCTTTTAACAAACATCCATCAAAGCCTTTACTTCTCCACAAAACCCAACTCGTTGCTGCAACTCGTACTGACCAACGACTGGTCTGACGAGTTAGAGACTGCCTTAGACGAGTTTAACTCTGCCTTGACTCATGAAACCGTCATCTATGTTCTGAAGAAACTCGATAAAGACCCGAAAAAAGCGTCGCGTTTTTTCAATTGGGCGCGCGAAGAAAATGGGTTTATTCCCAATTCTTCGGTTTTTAGCTTTATGCTTAGGATCTTAGCTAATAAAGCTACAATGGAAGAGTTTTGGATAACTTTAAGGGAAATGAAGGAACTGGGTTTTTATCTTGACGAGGAAATTTATTATACAATCCATTCTTGCTTTAAAAACGATAAGATGGCTAGTGATGTTGTGGCCTTAACCCATTTTTATAAACGGATGGTTGAAGAGAATGCCAAGGATAGCCTTGCCCAAAAGGTAGCTAAGGTGATTCTTAGGGATGAATGGGGTAATGAGATTGAGAAAGAATTAGATGGCATGAACATCGATTTATCTTATAATTTAGTGATTAGGGTGTTGAAAGAGCTTAGAAATTACCCTAAGAAAGGCTTACAGTTTTTCCATTGGGCCGGTAAGTGTTTGAGTTATAAGCATAACACGGTTACTTATAATGCTCTTGCTAGGATTCTTGCTAGGCATGATTCTATTGCAGAGTTTTGGAGTGTTGTTGAGGAGATGAAGGGTGAAGGGTTTGAGATGGATATTGATACCTATATAAAAATTTCGAGGAACTTTCAGAAATTCAGGATGTTGGAGGATGCAGTGAAACTTTATGAGTTCATGATGGATGGTCCATACAAGCCTTCAGAACAAGATTGTTATTTACTATTAAGGAACATTTCCGGTGTTGATGCACAAGGTTTGAGTTTGGTGTTTAGGGTTGTGAATAAATTTGAGGCAGCTGGATTTTCACTTTCGAAGGCTATTTATGACGGGATTCATCGTTCGTTAACCAGGGTGGGTAAGTTTGATGAAGCGGCCAAGATTATGGAGACTATGAAAAATGCAGGGTGCGAACCGGATAATATCACGTACAGCCAGCTGGTGTTTGGACTTTGTAAAGCAAGAAGATTGAAAGAAGCCTGCAAGGTGTTGGATGAAATGGAAGCAAACGGATGCCATGCGGACATCAAGACATGGACTATTTTGATTAAAGGTCATTGTGATGCTAATCAGATTGATGGTGCATTGATGTGCTTTTCGAAGATGCTGGAAAACTTTGATGCGGATGCTGACTTGTTGGATGTCTTAATAAACGGTTTCGTAGGCCAGAATCGAATAGATGGCGCATACAAACTGCTGGTGGAGATGGTGAATGTAGTTCATTTGAGACCTTGGCAAGCAACATTTAAACTTCTTATAGAGAAGCTTCTGGGGAAAGGAAAACTTGAAGAATCAATGGACCTACTTAGGTTGATGAAGAAACATAACTATCCACCTTACCCAGAGCCTTTCATTCGACATATTTCGAAATCAGGAACTGTGGATGATGCTAAAGAATTCTTAAAAGCACTGAGTGTGAAAGAATATCCAAGCATCGGAGCTTACATCCATGTTCTTCAATCATTTTTGGAGGAAGGTAGACATTCAGAGGCACAAGATCTCCTATACAAGTGTCCTCATCATATTCGTAATCATCCTAAAGTATCTGAAATCTTTGGTACCAAGTCTATGTCAGGATCGGACAAGAGGAAGGAAGGTTCGATGAGAAGAAATTGGGAATTTGTCAACAAGGGTTAGGGATTACCCGTAACAAATTGGGGATTTGTTCTGAGCGATCACGTGAAGGGCACGAGCTCATTAAAAGGAAATTGCTGGATCCATCTGCTGAGGAAGATAAACCCAATCTGTGCACCGGAGGATAAGAAATGAAGTTTGTTAAGCGTAGTACAGCCGGCTGTCTTTACCGTTAGATTCCAGTACCGTTTAATCAAATAAAACGTGTGCCTTGGATGGCAAACTTATGAAAAATGATGAATGAGAACTTCTTTTCTGAAACCTACAATTCTTCTCTTTCTATTCTCTCTTCACAAACCCAAACTTTAATAATTGGTATCCAGAGCCTAACATCCTGGCAAAGTTTGCTTTTTTGGGTATGTGAAAAAAGGGTCAAACAATGGCAGAATCGACGGAGTTACCGGCGATCCAGAAAAAGATTGAAGAACTTACCAAGTTGATGACACAAGCAAAGGACGAGTCCACGCCTCAAAATGGTGGGAAAAGAAATATTTGCCCCGCTTGAATATTTTTTTTTGGGTTTCCCCCTGCATTAATGTTAATTTTAGACGGATTGATTTAATTTTTCAGCAACTTTTTTGAATTTCAGGTAGGATTGTCCCATCATAGATCACCACTCCACAAGGTCAGCCACTTTCAAAGCAGCATCAAGGGAGAGCTTTAAGAAAGCTTCACTAGAGTCCCACGCAGAGGATCCGATACAGATTTCAGAACATCAGCCGCACCAGCATTAACCCTCTCTAGTGGACGCTGAGAAGATGGAGATCTCAAGGGAGTTGGAATTCGGCTCGATGCGCGATTCGGTTTACCGATTATTCAATAGGACATCAATCCTCAAGAATTTAAGGCGTTGCCTCATCACATCATACAGATCATCATCATCATCAACAAGGGTAACAACATCACCATCTTCATCAATATATATCAAGAGTAAATTCAGTATCAACAGGAAAATCAAAAGGCCCTGCAATTTTTGCCCAGCCATACCTAGACCCAGCTGTTCACCATCATCAATGCGAGCGGTGAAACACCTAGAGTAACTCCATGCTTAACCTGAATCAATTGCTGCAACCAAAAGAAGAGAACAAATAAAGTTTTACGTTTGGGTGACGTAATTCAGGGAAACAATATTTCAAATGGATCACAATTAGGATTAACATAAAAAGACTTCAATTGCATTTGCATATAATAATCAAAATTCAAAATAAGGAAAACAATCATCATGAACATTATTTTTAATTTAATTACATATATTTTAAATATAAATAAAATCAAATATAATTATATAAAATCAAAATAAATTCATATATTGTATCGCATATGTGAAGAAAGTTTATGTAGTAATTCGTTGATCTTCACTTTTCCGGCTTTTTATTTCATCGGGAAGTTTCGGTTTTACTGGTACCGACACTCTAAGGACGCTTCTTTATCATTTAAAATCTCTACATCCGTCAACCAAACATTGTTCACTACATCCTTAACCCACTCCGACAGCTCGCCGCCGAGTTCTCTCTTCGTCCCCTTCGTCTCCAGGTATCTGGCCAGTTATGATTTCCAGTATGATAATGCCGTAGCAATAGACGTCGGCTTTGTTCGTCAACTTCTTTCCTTGACAGAATTCCGGTGATCGGCTGATGGCAATCTTTTCTAAGGATCTTCGAGACGATAGCAACGGGTAGTAACCGTTATCTGTCACCCTGGTATTGTAGTTTTGGCTTTGGGCTTGGCGATGGATCAGAACATTTGAAGACTTTAGATTTGCGTGAGGAACTTTGTGGTTAGGTAAGTGTTGGTGAAGGTAATTCATGGCCTTTTCTACATCTTTGATTATTGACAGTCGTGTACCCCAGTTCAGCGGTATTCTTCCCGAACCTCTATTTTTATGGGGGGTTTTTACATAGCTGACACCGTTTGCTTTTAATTTTACTTTTCTGACACCGTTTGACCAATATTTCCAGAACTAGCATCCTTTCTGCTGAGTTGGCAAAGGCGCGTCCCGGGGTGCGTTTTACCCGTGTTTTTCGCTGAGTTGGATGCCACATGTGAAAGGCGCTTTGCCAACTCAGCAGACACGTATTTTGTTTTATAATAAATAGTTTATTTTTATTATTATTATAAATTAATAATATATTATGTAAAATGTTTCGATTATAATGTAAGAATTATCAAGTTTCGAGTATTTTTGATTTTGATTATCGATCTATTAATTTTATCAGTTAATTATTTAAATGTTATCAATCTAGTTATCTCATATCAATATTTAACGAAAATATTGATGCATAAGTTAATAAATTAGTATAATTACATATTTAATCTTCAAGACTTACATATTTTATAAAATTAGTCTTATTGAAAATTTAATTTAATAAATTTAATCCTCCAATCAGAACATGAAATGTGTCATCGTATACATAAATTTTTTAATAACTTTTAATTTGTTTAATTTAATATTTTTCTCTACTTAGAAGGTGGAATTATTATTATATTTTAAAAAAATTATAACTAATAATATTAATTATTATATTAAATAAATATATTAAATATATTTATGTATTTAAAAGTTAAAAAAAATTATTTAGGTGTACATACATTGACAAATTATATAAATGCAATAACATTAAATATAAATAGCATAACATATAAGAGGTATAACCGATATCCATACCTCTAATGACCCACTAAGGTGGGGTGGGATGCAAGCTTTCACTTCATCGCTCGCATAAGGTATCCACTGAAACTGAAATATAAATATACAATTCAAATAAATAAAATATTCTAATTATATCTAACATTTTAAATTAAAATATTAATAATTAAACAAATTTAAAAACATACCTCAGACCCAGCTTTCGTATCAATAAGTAAACGAATTTCCTCTAACCCAGTAGGTATACTTTTATGGTCCTTTCTTTTCATCGACCACCTATGAAATATAATATAAACTAAATATCACCCTATTTAATTGAAAATATTTAAATCAAAATTTAGTTCGAAAATTACCTCAACAATAAGGGGAATACGTATGGTTCATTCACGATCGGGCATAAGAAAGGCATGCGGAACCACGCCCATGATTGTAGAAGCAGAAGACATCCACCGATAGTAGTTTTCTTATAATTCGTCGCCCGACACATTTCTCTAAAGAGAAATGCCAAAACTGCAGCACCCCAACTATATCTTCCAGCTTCATCAAAATCGATCAGATGCCGCAACCACATACGATGCACCTGGTTGCGAGATTTGTCGGGCATCAATATTCCTCCAATTATTCGTAGAATATATGCCCGAGCACATGCCTTTGCTTGATCCTCTGAAGCATTTTCATTTAAAACCTCAAAATTAGCTTTCAACCAAGATAAAGCTATTCTACCTCCATTAAACTCTGGCGGAGCAGCTCCAAGATAATCAATGTACATTGATTGCCAATCACCATCTGCCATACCACACATCATATTTCCGTCGACGGGAAGCCCCAGATGCATAGAGACATCCTCCAATGTAATTGTTGCCTCTCCACATGGAAGGTGAAAAGTGTGTGTCTCGGGCCTCCACCTCTCAATCAGTGCAGAAATTAGGACAGGTTCGAGTTTGCAACCGCCTATAATTGTTGCAATATACCCGAACCCAGCAGAAGCCAAATATGGCAAAATACGTTCCGGTGTCGGTATACGTGGATTTTTAATAAAAGTTTCTAAAATACGATCAGCATCCTAAATAATATATATTATAAAAAATAAAAATTAATATAAATTCATAATAACTTTAAAATAAAAATAAATTTAAATATTAACATTAATTATAAAAAATATTACCATATAGCTAAAATGTCTGGAGATATGATCAATATCCAATCGCAACAGCATTTCGTTTTCCATTATAACTGTAGACAAAACAATATAATTAACAAAAAAAATTAATAATTCTAAATAAATAATAATTATATAAATATTATTTTAATAAAAAATAATATTTACATAAATATATTAATATAAAAAATAATAACTATTTAAAAAAATACTAACATAAAAATAAATTTCTTACCACTAATAACAAATTTAAAACTCAAATAGTTGGAGAATTTGAGTTATATAAGAGAGGAGAAGATGATTTTGGTGTGAAGAATGAGTGAGGGTTGAGGGGGTTTATATAGGGGAGGAGGAGGGGTAGTTAGAAAAAACGGATGGGGGCATTTATGACATTTAATGGAAGGCGCGTCCCCGGGGATGCGCTTTCCACACGTGTCTGCTGATATGGCAAAGGCGGGTCCCCGGGGACGCGCCTTTCACACATGGCATCCAACTCAGCGAAAACACGGGTAAAGCGCGTCCCCGGGGACGCGCCTTTGCCAACTCAGCAGAAAGGGTGCTAGTTTTGGAAATATTGATCAAACGGTGTTAGAAAGATAAAATTAAAAACAAACGGTGTCAGTTATGTAATTTAGCCCACATATCCCATATACCAAGAAAAGCGTTAATTCTATGTCAAATTATCGACAAGGGTTAATCCCACATGACATCCTTAAACTATAGTATAAAATTTTAAATTGACCTCTAAGTTTAGAAAAATATTCTAAATAAACCTTTCAATTATTAGTATTGTATCAATCAGGTCATTCTATCAGTTTCTTCATTACTTCAGACGTTTAAGTGTGAACACCAATTTGATGTTGAGCAGGGATGGACTGTCCTCCAGAAATTTTAAATTCTCATTCAATTTCGTACCTCCTAAACTTTTGTAATTTCACATTCCCTAAATTTCTAATATAATTTTCTAAAACTTTGCACCCCTAACAAAATTCTACGCTCTGTCTGTGATGTGGAACATGTTTAAAGTACGTGAATCAAATTATAATCATGTATGTAGCTATTGCATGAACAATATTTGATTTGATATGTAAAAGAAAAATATATTAGTCATATACTACATGCATATGTTCGTGATTTGATTTGATCTGTTAAAAATATTTCACGTTAGATTTGAACTTATATTTAACGCTTGTAATAACGACTAAAGATGAAGCAAAAAAATAAATTGTCTTAGGGGTGGAAGTAAATTTAAAGTTCTTCAAGGCTAAAGGAATAAATTTTCCATTAAAAACATTTAAGTTGAAGTAAAAACTAGATGGACTATAATGGCTATTTACCCATTTGAATCTATGGGAAGCGAGGCCGCTACCTACTGACTAGATTTATAGGACCTGAATGATTCAACTAATATTAAGAGAACTCAATTAAGAAGTTTTGAAGTTTAATAGACCAATTTAGATTCTAGACTATAGTTTGAGGACATTTAGTGAATTAACAACAACCCAAGTTAAATCTAAAAGAAGTAAATAAAGAACCAAACTGACTGTGTAATAAATCGAATAAGCTGGTTCCAGGCAATAATTCAAAGAGGAGCTTCTCCTCCTCCTTGGAATTGTAGAAAGAAACCATCTGCACCAGGTTCTCATGCTTAAGCTTTCCAAGCAACTTCATCTGCTGAACAAATTCCTTGTTGCTCAACCCTTTCATGTCTTTTACTCTCTTCACCGTAACCACAACGCCTGCTCCCAACGATGCTTTGTACGTAGTGCTTAATTTCCCTCTCCCCAGAACTTCGGCCGATGCTCTTAGCAAATCATCCAAGTCAAAAGCTGTTATGTTCTTGTTGAAAAACTCCAATTCAGCCGCTCTTTCTGGATCCGCTGCCCTTTGAGAAGAGCGCTCATCCGACCCTATGCAAGTTTAAGCACATTAATGGCACATTATCGAAATATGTAATGTCGAATGCATGGTACTTTTACTGTACAATGTACATACCTGTGTTCTTGGCTGTTTCTTTTCTAGGCACTTTCCTGTAATACCATAAGAAACCCAAGATAACTAGGAAAGGAACAAGGACCGAAACAGCGATGACGAAAGCCAAATCCCGAGCTCCGGAACTCTTTTTGCCGCCGTGATTTGGCGACGGTGATGGGGTAGGTGGAACCGGGCATTGCTTCTTTATAGGACTTCCGCAAAGTCCCGGGTTATGTTCATAAGAGCTATCGGGGAACCCTTGAAGAACGTCGGTCTGAGGAATTGGACCCAAAAGACTATTATAATAGACGTTGAAGGTGACCAAGCTTTGCTGATCGAAAGGCGGAATCTCCCCTTGCAAATAATTCTCTTGCAGCTCTATCTTCTTCAAGTTCGGCAATCGAACGTAATGAAAAGGGATGGAACTATTGAACAGATTCTGCGAGAGGAAAACGTATTCCAAATGAACGAGGTCGCTAAGATCCGGAATTGGTCCGGTGATCGAATTACTTCCCATGCTTAGTTTAGTCAGGAAGGTTAAATTCTTCATCACCAACGGCGGGAGAGATCCGGCAAGCAGGACTCTGTCGAGAACGAGACGTACCACGTGTCCCTCGGAACAAGCAACGCCTCCCCATCTGCTTCGGTTGTTCATACAAGGAATCCCCGTCCAATTCGAATACAAGTTTGGAGAACCAACAGCGTCCCTCAGCCGCGACAACGCTTCTAATTCGCTCGGGTAGTACTCCCCCACAATCGGTGTCAAAGCAACGACGCCGCTCGACATTGTCACACACAAAAGCAGCGACGCAAGGTTGAAAGCTAAATTCATGGCCGGCGTTCTCCGTAATCTGAATGAATCATCATCATTTCACCGTTGAAGTCATCGGGCTTTGGCTCGTCGTTGATCCAAAGGAACCAACATTCGATTGCATGATAAAGTCATACCTTTCTTCGAGTATATAACAAAGTAGCTGCTGGTTGACGAAGTTTGCATTGCAAAGCTACACGTAAAAGATTCCAATCTTTTTTTTTTTTTTTTTGCAGAAACAAGGAGAGTTCTTATGGGTTTAATACCAGGTGACAGCTTTGACCTGTTTTTTCCACGAACTTTGTATACGTTTTTCGAGTTAAAAATACGTCTTCAACTGCCATTAACGTTATGTGTAGACTTTAAAGGGCGAATTTAATATTTCAAAAATTAATAAAATTATTTGTGTTGTTAGATGTCGTGGGAAGCAAAGAATGAGAAAGGGCGGGATATCAGAAGATGCTTGACAGCTGCAACAACCGTCAATAATTGTCCCAAAATGCCTAACCACAAACATAAAATATATTAGAAATAAAGGTTTAAGTGTATGGTTCATTGTATTTTGATTATTCAATCGTAACAAAGGTTTTAAGTCTACGATTCATTGGATTTTAGTAGTTTTTCCCCTAACAACGTAAATGCAATTGAATTAGAGGATTTTAGTGTGATTAGGATGGTTGTGGATCGGATTGGGTTAAGTTAAGTTAAAGATGTGTTTTATTATAATTTGATTCAATCATCACTCGACTTGATTTGGGTTTAGACAAATTTTACTTGACTTAGTCAGCTCGGTTTAAAGATTTTTTATCCGGCCTAAAACTTGACTCGTTTTTTGGATAAAAATTCATATTGGATAAAAAGATCACCATCTTCGACGGGGGATGCACATAAGAGCAAAGCATCAAGTGATATATTTATTTACTTTTGCTGGACAGCATCCTGTACTTGTCACGTCTTAGCCGCTGAGGATCAATCATATTTTACATCTACCCCTTCCGCCAATACGTTAATGCTTTTGCCAATATTCATTTTCTTGAATGCATTCACTCCCATGTGCACAGCCATAACTATGAATCTCTATTAAATAAAAGAATAATTCATTTTAATACAAGTTGGTCACACCAAGGAACATAATCCTGTGGGAACTTAACGAATCTCCATTAGGCACATGAATTATCTCTGTTATCCGAGTCAGAGCGAGCTACAAATATATAACACAGATGCTCATTTAAAAAAATATATATCACATATTTGAGGTCCGAATAAAGTATATATGTGTGTGATTCTTCTTAAGAAGTTGGGAAAAACCCACGGAAAGCGCCAACAAAACATCAGTAGGATGCAGCATGCATTCGTTACTTGCGTTCGAAACAGGTCCCCCAAATACATCACATGCATATAACAGCGAAACTCAACCATTTGACATTGGTCCAAAAAGTTCAAATTCATACACACACACATATTTATGTGATCGGATGGCTCACATTATTACCGGTATTTTTAGTAGACCAGCAAATATCATTTATATTTCCGTGATGAACTTCATTGCTTCGGAGGCTCATACCAACCCCATTGTTCACCAGATACGTACTCTGTTACCTGTTTCACGATCAAGTAATTTTCGAGTCCCCTGCAAGAAAAACGACAGCCCCAAATTATATATCCATCTCGGTACTACAAATCCGATTAAGATCATAATAGAAACAGAAAGAGGATATCAAATCCCAGGTTTTTGAGTTTCCACAAACAGGATATAGTATGTAATCATGACAATAATCATCCAAGAAATAGCTGAAAGCTTGGGTAAATACCATTCCCCGAGTTCACGCCCAAAGCCACTCCATTTGACGCCTCCGAATGGAGCTTGGCAGAAGCATGGCTGTGAACAATTGACCCAAACGGCACCTACCTGCAGAGCCTGCAACAAAGAAGCAGAGGCGTCAAATATCATATCACACTTTGGTTGCCTAATTGGGTGATGCTTCCAGCACAGATCTTACCTTGCTTACACGGTCACATCTTTCTAGATCCTTTGATACCACGGCGCCTCCCAAACCGTAACTAAATAAAATATTAGAAAGGAATTAATCAAGCTTTGGGATCAAAATGATAAGGCCTTTGTGGCCCGGGGAGTGGAGGGTAGGGGTTGGTTAAAAGGGTAAAGGTCGGGCTAAACGAATTACTAGATCGTACTTTGTTTTCGTTATCCATATGTAAGGATCAAATCATTGGGATTGTATATGTTAACTTACTGGGTATCATTTGCCAATTCAATGGCTTCGTCTTCGGTTGTAAATGTTTTGACACAAAGAACAGGTCCAAAAACTTCTTCTCTCCATATTTGCATGGAGGTGTTTACGTCAGTGATGATGGTTGGTTCAACATAGTATCCTTTCTCTAAATGCTGGCAACCATTTATGAAATAGAAATGGTAAAGAGTTCTAAAAGGAGAAAAACGCCAATCATCGAGAAGCAGATAATTAAATTATACCTTCGGACGATTCCCACCATACAAAATAGTTGCTCCCTCATTCTTAGCATTTGATATGAACTTCATTACTTTTTCATACTGCAGCAGGATTAATCAAATATTTAATATGAAACCTTAGACACTACCATAATAGCTATATTTTGAATTAAATCAGTTGCCAGATCAAGAATTATAATCCTGACAAAGTAACAGACTACTCCAAAGGAAGCCTTATCAAGCAACAGATAATCCCATCCAGACTCGGACTTCGAAATTTTAAATGAAGAATATAAAAATGGCATATGATAGATTTGCATAAAAATTTGGCATTAGAGAAATCATTTAAATGACCATAGCTTATTTAAGCTTGTGCAGAAGTAGTAGTCCAAATTGAAACTTAAAATTGTCTTATTCAATTCCTAATTCCTAGGCTATGTGTTATGTGTGCTAGATTCGCAATTTGCAGGTAGGTTTCAATTCTGTTCTTATATATCTAGCCTCTGTCCCAAAAATTTTACTTACCTGCCCTTTACTAACAATGGGACCCAGTTTGCAATCTTCTTCCAAGGGATCAGAAATTTTGATTTTCTCGCTCCATTTCACCAGCCTGTCCAAAAATTCTGCCGCAATACTTTCCTGTGAAAAAAACAACAAAATTTGCCTAATCGAGACTAGGAAAGAAAAATATGTATATATAATCACAACTGACAAAATACATGCTAAAAGCTTAGTTCAAGAACTCAAGGTCACAGAACCATAGAGTTATTTTTCTTGGATCAAAGGTATGTCTTTGACTCGAACCCTAATAAAATAAATTTCATGCAACCCCTTTCCAGTACAAGAAGGGTCGTGAAGCTATAACGAGAAATAGGATAGTCACCAGTGACAACCCCTTATTAGGAGTGTATCAGACAGGTAGAAATAAATGGAGCCTGTAAAGAGATTTTTTTTCATACTTACTCAAAGATAGATATGGCAGAAACTACTGCATCTACAAGTGCTTTGAAGGATAGAAGAGTCTACGAGGTTGGGAAATTTTTTGTTTTCTCTAGCTGCTTATACCTTTGGTGTACTCCCATAGCACAGTAATTATTGTCTAATAGTGTTTGTAGACCTTTTGAGTTGGGATTTATATGGGATTGGTTTGCTGGATTAACAACTTACTAATCGGACCCAAATAATGCTTCGCTAATGTGCTTAATTTAGCCAGTTTATAAGTTTATGAATGGACTGAAATGGTTCCCCTCTTAGTTATGCCAAGTGCGAACAAAATAATATTAAAATAAAAAATCAATAACTCTAAAGAACAAAATTGGTTCATGCACTTACATGCACAATAAGGCGGGATGTTGCACTGCAGATCTGGCCACCATTATAAAAGCAACCAAATATGGTCCATTCAACAGCTATTAAAAGCACAGGTGGCTAAATTAGCAACTGAATAAAGATATACTATTTTTATGCACTGAAGTTTCATGAGTAAAATCTGAAAAATCTGTTCTGATGAGAAATAGAAGAAACATGAAGGTTTAAAAGTGATTCACATGGAACTAACCCTTGTCAATGTCAGCATCCTCAAACACAACTATTGGACCTTTTCCACCAAGCTCTAAAGTAACAGGCTGCCACAAAACCATAAAGAAAATTTTATGCACATGATCATTAAAAAACTCGGTCATCATATGCTAGAACTTCAACAAACCTTGACCCTTTGAGCAGCAGATGTCATTATCTTGATTGCTGTTGTTGTGCTTCCAGTAAATGAAATCTGTTGGCAACCGACTAGTAGCAATTAGTTTTGAAATGTTATTTTGCCAAACATCTTATGAATTTCAATTTCATAGAAAGGATCACAGAAGAAAATGGTTAAAATCAATTTAACCTTGTCAACATGGGGATGAGATGCCAAAGGTGCACCAGCATCAGGACCTAATCCAGGCAGAATGTTGAGAACACCGGCAGGGAGATCAACCTCCCTACACACTTCTCCCAGCTCCAGACAGGTCCTTAAGTATGAATGAGAAAAAAAAAATATAAGGCAGATTAAAGAGAAAAAAAAATATTGATCTCAAATGGAACATCAAGACAAAATTCCCCCACAAATGATTTATGAAAAGTGAAAAGTAACATGAAAACTGGAGCAGGTAAGTTGAAAGCATACACAGATGCCAACTCAGAAGGCTTCAGTATTGCAGCACAACCTGCAGCCAAAGCTGGAGCAACTTTCCATATAGCCATCAAAAGCGGGTAATTCCTTCAAAACAAAAGATAAGAAATTTTTAGTTATTGGATATCAAGATAACCATTAAAAGCAATATGAGAAGAACCATTGAACCGTACAGCACTATGTCCTCAAAGGATAAAGATTCCAATCATCTTAAACACTAAACAATATACCAAACCATGGGAAGCCCTTAAATGGTCCCAAATGATGTAGGACACAATCAATATAAATCATCTTAATAAATCCACTTTGGAAGGCACAACGCTTAAAACGTTCAGCCCCTAGCATCGACAGTAAGTTTACAATCTAATATCAGGAGATAAGATTAAGTGAATTGATGTACCAACTAGGTCCACTAATAATAGATATAGAAGTTAAAAACCAACACATCCATTCACTCCATTTTTGTGATCTATATAGCAGATGAAACTAGCTTTAGGCAAACCAAACAAGTGAACCAAAAAACAAAACCGGGTTACGCAGATATCTCAAACAAGTATTGGGTAAATGGAGAAGAATAGTACTTAAGGATGGTTTATCAAACGAAAACATACAGTTTGGCCAACTAAGCAGAAAAATTATCAAGACAGAAAAAAAGTGAAAAAACAACGGTAACAGTCTGGAAGTACCATGGGACAATCAACCCGACAACTCCAATGGGTTCCTTGATCACATAGCTCTTAAATGCCTTCAGAGGAAGGGAGATAGGAGCTTTTTGCTTGGCATCTAAACTTTCAGCAAGGTCTGCATAGTACTCAAAGCAACTGATAACGTCATCCTAAAACACACAAATAAATAGGTTAAAAGCCGGCTAATAATAGTAACATAACAGTTAGATATTTGTTGCAGGCATACCATGTCAGCTTCTGATTCTTTAAGTGGTTTCCCAGAATCTACTGTTTCAAGTTTGGCAAGTTCAGGCTTTCTCTCTTTTATCTGGATTATTTAAAAACAATATTAAATGATGGGTCATGACAATAAAAAGGTTGCAGTCATTTCCATCAACAAAGCAAGAATAACAATTGCAAAAGCTAATAAACATACACGTGTTACAGTTAAAAGAAACTCAGAAATTCTGCTTTAAAGTACAACAATTGCAAAAGCCAATAAACATACAAGTATTACAGTTAAAAGAAAACTCAGTTAGAAATTCAGCTTAAAAGGAGAACACAAGTTCACCAGTTGAACCCGGCTAGCATGGTTATGTTGGTTTAAATCAATTACACCTGGTATATCTGAAGCCATTTCGTTCTGCCACTAAAGTAATGAATCAATGACATGGAATTTTTTGTTAAGAGAAAGAAAACATCTTGCAATCTGACTGTAATCCCAACAGCATATCCATAAATTCTTTTGTAGGAGTTTACATATATAAAAGGAAAAGGGTTCGATTTACAACCTTTGAGAAGTTAGGTTGATCTATCTAGTCCCAAGTTAGTACATTACTCTTTATTGCAGAAGCAATGTTCCACTTTGGCAACTATTATTCAGATAAATGAGACTCATTCAGTAAACAGGGGCAAGTTGTAAAGTTAAGCTTCATTTGAACACTATTATTTCACAATTAGTAGAACTATTTGTATCACAAAGTTCAATTGCATTTTTTTCAAACAACCGGCTTCGCATGGAAAATAAAATTTCCAATTTGTACTTTTTATTTCCATTACTATTGATTTGATGTTACTTTTAAATCATTTATTCATTCAGACCAAGCTATAATTCTTCTTGTTATGCTTTACATTCTATAGAAAAACTCCCGAAAATGAAAAATGCAATCAACGAAAAGGGACTAAAAAAACATTCAAAAATGAAGCTTTTCCAGCAATTCCTTTTATTGAAGTACCAATTGAAGATTGTGATTAGTTAATTGCAGCAAGGTAATTGTTTGCTGTCTAAAAAAAATCAAAGCAACAGCAAATGGTAAACAACTAAGGAAGAAAAGGAAGACTTGAAATAGCAATTACCTTGGCAGCAATGGCACGCAAATACTTAGCACGGACAGCACCTGAAGCTGTGGCCCAATCTTTACCTTTGTTCCGAGTAAGTGCTCTCCGAGCAGCCTCGACTGCAACATCCACATCTTCAGCAGTCGCCGCCGGAATATCACCTGATGAACAACAACAACAGCAATAACAATTATGAAGAAATCAACCACAATTTTTGTAAAGATCAAAGGGAAGTAGCGAAAAAGAGAAAAGAAACCGATGATTTCTTCAGTAAAAGGGTTGATAATAGGGATGCGTTTCTTAAGCAAAGGCTCAGTCCAATTGCCGTTGATGAAAAGTTGCCGACTGGGGATCGGGATCGCCATTGTTGCTAGAGTGTTGTGTGGTGAAGTAAAGTAGTTTCGTAATCTTATAAGGGCCAATTAATAATGCTCCCGATTCCATTATTTGAAGAGCCAACTGAAAATGACTTTTTTCCTTACTTTTTCTACTTTACCTTTTTTTTTTTGGTATTTCAATGGCGATTTTTTGCTTCCACTGTATTTTTGCCTTCACAATGGCTCCAAAATATGTTGTGGTTAATATATATCTGTTTGTTATTGCTGCTTCCACGTGTTGCCCAGTGGATGTGATGATTATGGATTTTCTGATAAAACGTCGAGAAGATGCTGACAGTGAGAGGACACGTGGACAAGTTTCTGATGGGAAGTCCTCACCTGCACCGGTGTCACACAATTCGATTTGGGTTTACACGTGCCTCTAACATGTAAATACGAGGGTTTCCGTTTGAGCAAAATAAATTAATTTTTTTAGGTAAATTACACATTTAGTATCTAAACTATCAGTTTTGGTCTGTTTTGTATCTAAACTTTCACTTTTTTAAAATTCATACCTAAAGTTTAGTTTTTGCTTCATTTTAGTACCCCTATTAAAAATTTAACATTAATTTGTAAAAAAAATGAAAGTTTAGGTATTAAAATGGACCATACTGATAGTTTATATACTAAACGCGATAAGTTTTTAATTATAGAGTACTTAAATGAAATAAAAACTAAACTTTAGGTATGGTTTTGAAAAAAATTGAAAGTTTAGGTACTAAAATAGACCAAAACTGATAGTTTAGGTATTAAATGCACAATTTATTCTATTTTTTTAGTGTCCTCTCGATTTCAAGACTTTGTCTTGACTAATTCAGATCGACCTGTGTCGCACACTTGGTTTTGGTGGATGCGTCTCCCAATGAAGATTTTTTGCATACACAGAGACTCGAATTCGAAAAAAATCAATGTGCCTCTCGTGTTACTTTTCTCTCAATATGACCCTTCAACTAAAAAAAATTTCAATGTGGCTCTTTGACCAATTTTTTTTGTCATTAACTGTCATTAGTATAAGTCATTCACCATTAAGATGCTCTAAGTCAACTATAAATTTCTACAAAAAATCTACATGATTCTTTTTTCCCCTTCAACAACTATGCATGTAACTAGAAATTGATTATTTTAGTATTTATCAACAATGATAAACAATATTTCCTTTGTAACATATTTAAGAAGTATCTACATCAATAAAAATTAACGAAATTATTGACCAATGACAAAAAATATTATTCAAATATATTAATTTTTTTAGGTAGAGGATCGCTCTAAAGTAATAATAACAATGACTACATTAATTTTTTTAAATACATGAACATCTTTTTACCTTTAATAAACAAATAATTCCAAGGGTACCCAATGGGTGTACAGATCGCAAGACAAGTGGATTGGTTTCGACGCGTACTAAATAATATTGAGCAGGACGAGTACTTGTCAGCATAGTATTATACTGCGGTTGCAATGCGATTTAAAGATCGCATTGTAATAAGTTTTTAGAGATCATCGTAACGTAATATTAGCGTAACACGATAAGAGAAGTACATTATAATTTTTGCGATCGAAAATCGTTATATAACACTATAATAGGTAAAAAAGATTATGCCGCAAAAAACATTCAAATTATCCGAAATATAAAATCACATAGAAATAATGTTCGAATATTTTGATTTAACAAAAAAATGATGTTAAATATTAACAAACATTTAACTTATGATACATTTTTATACAATAATTGAAAATTGACTATAAGAATATATCATTAAACAATAGTTAATATTAGAATATTAAAATATGAAAATAAAATGTATAAATATAATGTTTAGAAATAATGTGATTTTTATAAATAAATCATGATCGTAATAGCCGTTACGTGTTACGTAACGTTCACAACATCCGTAATCGCGACCGACGGACACAGCAACAGTAATCTGATACTATGTCCGACAGAGATTTTCGTACTTGGAAGTTTGAAAGGTATCCGTCCGATGAATTTACAAACATGGAGTAGTTGTAAGCTGGCAAGTGGCTCCGATCGGATAGATACCTATCTTGAGACTTCATTAATAAAAATTTTAAAAAGTCTAAAATGTGCAGCAGCCAACCCTCATAAATAAGGTGGCATTACTTTACCAAAGACGCCAAAAACAAAAAGTAAACTAATAATAGGAAAACAGCAAAATATAATAAAGGATTTTGGTTACAAAGTTATAGAAAAATTACAAAAATGAAAATCACTACTTTTATAAAATTATTTTTAAATTTATCAAAATTTATTATCATTTTATAATAACTCAATAAATTTAATGATCAGCCTTTGAAATTATAATAAAAAATTATTTCAATATAATTAAATGATTATTTATACGATATATCCTAGAATAAACCTGGAAGTCTGTCTCTATCGGTTATAGACGTAGCCAGCGTCGTGGAAGATCAGCGATTGATCCATCCATCCATGGCATCATCGTACGGCTCAAAATCCATTCAACATTGCTGAAACCGAAAGCCAAAAAAGAAGGTTCTCATCTGTATCCTCTCCCCCGTGTCTTTTGACTATCAACAAATTATCGTAATATTTAATAAAAAAGGAGAATTTTTTTCCATTCCATCCACAGGAAGACAGGAAATTTCGTATTGTTCATAAGAGAAAGAGGGTTTTATCAAAGAAGAAATTGTAGCTTTGAATGCAGGACGGAGTCTGTTGATGTGCTCTCTTCTCATCCCTCAAAGAACTACTAGGCATCCCTGTGCTTCGTAAATCACCCAGAAACCAAAGAAAAGGCAACAAGAATGGATTTTTACGGACACCCCTCTCGTTCTTCGACTTCTTCATTTAATTTGTTCAGGAATTTCATTGAAAAGGTTAAAGATTCTTGCAGTTTCGCCATTTCTGCCATCGTTGGGAACGTCTTCTCTGCCATCTTAACTACCTTCTTTGCGTTAGGTTGGTTTAGCGTTGCTGATCGAATTTATAACCCCTTTTTTTTCAATTGCAGAAACTATTTGATCCATTACATAATCATCGCCCTTGATGTTGGTTTTATAATAAACTGAAATCTGCCTGTTATTAGACAATCAATCTGGTTATGTTGCATGTCCGGATTAAATTGTCTTATATGCATGGAAGATGGAGATTGACGTTTTCGTGTGTGCAGTGGGGACCTTGTTAGGGGCCTTGACGGGGGCTTTAATAGGACAGGAGACGGAGAGTGGGTTCGTCAGAGGGGCTGCGGTTGGGGCTATCTCCGGTGCGGTTTTCTCGATCGAAGTCTTCGAATCTTCTCTTCTCCTTTGGCAATCCGATGAGTCCGGGATCCGATGTTTGCTTTACTTGGTGAGCTGTTGTTCTGTTTATTATCCTGCTGGGTGACATAAACCTATAACTCTTTATATAATACCAATGAACAACAATTTTTGACCTGTGAGTGATGGGAAGCATTCTTTGTTGCAGATTGATGTGATCGCAAGCCTTCTAAGCGGGAGGCTTGTTCGAGAACGAATCGGTCCGGCCATGCTGAGTGCAGTCCAAAGTCAGGTAATATATACTTATGCACTCTGCAAAAAAAAAATGATACCATGAAAGGGGCATTTCACCTAGGGTTTCGATTTTGGTTACCAGATGGGTGCCGCCGAACCAGAAATAATGTACGAGGAGGTCCAGAACATCTTCGACACCGGTGGTGCTAAAGGATTGGCTAGGCATGTGGTTGAAAGAATCCCAAAGATGATAATCACAGATAATAACAATCAAGATACTTCTGGGGAGAAAGTTTCATGCTCAGTTTGTCTTCAGGTCTACTTTTATATTTCAACCCATTATAAGTAAAACTCAACTCGCAGCCATTAATGAGAAGCTTATTTGAGTGGTGTTTTATGGTTCATAAAAATACAGGACTTTCAGCCCGGAGAGACGGTGAGGAGCTTGCCGCAGTGTCATCACATGTTCCACTTGCCGTGTATAGATAAGTGGCTTCTTAGTCATGCTTCTTGCCCATTGTGCAGAAGGGATATGTGATGTTATTTAATGTAAACTACACGATCAGTTGTTTATATTTTATATATTTTTTATACCATTCTTACATAATTAATGGCTTGTGTATTTTGTTTTGGTTCATCAAATTCAAATGCTTTGCCAACTATTGTTTCTCCTATAAATGGTCGATGCAACTTGCAATACAAATAGAGTCCATGACGACATGTACATGACCATGTGACATGACATCCCATCTAAAAATCTGGACAACAAAAGAGTTTTAACAAGAACCTCGTATTATTGAAACATGTAAATAGAAATTCTATGGAGTTCCGTGTTCAGGATATGTCGACATAATTTAGAAAACCCAAAATCTCCAGAAATTCTAAGAGCAAGCAAATATACTGGGATTATAAACTAGAGTCTCTCAGGTTAAAATGTTACATTGCACAAAAAAATTACGTATGTAATAAATAAATAAATATTAATTAAAAGTTGCACCTTCTCCTTTCTACGCTGATGAGAATCGATCGCATTGCGTAAGAGGAGGATTGTGTGCTAGATATAGCAGTAGCAGTTGCTAACCTCGTCGACTGACATTAAGTTGTGGCACAGGGAGCCAGAGTTTTTGCAGGCGGATTAACTCCACCTCCCTTGAGGGACAATGAAGGGCAATTTACTGAGCTGGATTTGCTTGAAAGATTCGAATCGAGAAATAAAACTACGACCGTGATGTCATCATGAAAATGCCTGCGTACGCCTCGCTCAATCTTCTTCAAATCTGAGTATCGCATTTCTCTCTTTTTAGCAGCTTCCTGCAAGGCAGCTTTCACAAGCCTTCTAGCAATCCCCTGTGAGAAGAAGCACAAAACAATCAATAACAAGATCCATACCTCTCTTCTGCCATTCTATAACAATTACAATAACACATATGACCAGACAAGACAAACAAAATATATGGGCTTGGTTGCTAAAGGCTCCATTAAATTATCTCCAAACCTAGATTATAAAGTCAGAATTTACATTTTTGCGCATGTATCTCACCATCTAATCAAGGACAAGTTTGTCCTGAAACTTCTAAAGCTAAGACACAGCCAATGCAATAAAGGATAAGCACTGCTGAGGCACTAGAAGTCCAGCAGTACAAAATGAATGTTCATCAAGTATTGATGTCACACTGAATGAATCAACATATAGAAAGTTAAGAAAAACAAAATTAACGAGCCCCGAGCAGATACAAATGGAAGCTCAAATTGCAATAGGACAATACTGCTTTACGTTATGATAAAATCACAACTCGCTGAAAAACGCTGAAATGTGCTTGATTTAGTCAGTTGATGTCATACACCACAATTCATCCAGTTAATAAGTATACTATAACTTAACAGGACAATCATACTAATTCTCTATTAAGAGAAGTATATCTTACTTTGCGTGGATGATGTTGGACAATGTCAACTGCATCCTGATTGCTGAGATGTTCCCAGAGCCCATCAGAAGCAAATATGATAAACTGGTCATAAGGTTGGAGTTCATGCGTAGATATCGATGGTTCAGAGCTCAAAATTGGATTTCTAAAAGCTTCACGAAGACGGAACTTTTGATATAGAGGCTCCCTGTTGTATTCAGCCCTTTTAAGATAGACATCACCAATAGATCTAGAGACCTGCAACAGAGAGGTTTTGTTAATGACCCCGGTATATTAGGGCACATCACATCCCAGAATATATATTATGCATTGCTGGATTAATGGAAAATGATACGAGCAACAAACTTAGTTAAAACTATAGCTTAACCAAATGAATAGTGCAAAATCCCGGTTTTCACATACAGGATTGAAAGAAGATGAGATCTGCTTAGTATGTATATTACTGTATCCAAACAAAGAACTTACCTGTATCAGGCCCTTTACACGCCAAACATTATGTTTTAAAACTACAATATTCGAGTCATCAGGATGCAAAGAACGCATCTCTTGCCTGACAGACTCTATTCCTACATTATGCTCAGATGACAGCTGGATTGCTAGAACCTCCCCGGTCGCCTTGACACGCCTTCCCAGCACAGCACGAGAGTCGCCAACGTTAGCAATGTAAAGGGTCCCGTTACAAACAACACCCACCAGGCAGCATGATCCCACAGCTGCTATCTGGGGTTTCATAAGCCACTGTTTTGCAACAAGAGAGAAAAATCCCTCTTCTGTTCCTTGATATGCTTTCTTTATAACATCGACAGACATTGATTGCTGCTCCGCGGAAAACCCTGCAAAACATCATCTTCAACTGAGCCACCAAGGCATCAACCAGGTTTTGAACCTAAAAAGTTGACACTCAACGAACTTGTAGTATATGTTTAATAGCTCATCCTAGAGACTGCTATAAATACAGGTTTATTCATTAGAAATCCGCTAGGCAGATAAATGTTACAGGTTGTCAACCAAGGTCTCTTACTCTTTACATGCTGGAACAGTTGATCGTTGATATAACGCGATGTCTCAGGGCCACCATGACCATCATATACTCCTACAAAGGTACCAAATGGACCAGACTCGAGAGTGCTCAAGGGGCCAGATTCAATCTGGCTCTGATCCTCTAGCAAATTGTTAGCCTGGACAACAGCCATAGAAAATTCACCAGTCAAGTGTTGCCCTTTGTCTTTGTACCAAAGGAGCCCATCTTGCCGACCTGCTGCATCCGAACCTGCGTGGACAGAGCGGTCCGAAGATTGCAGACAGCAGGCCCTCAAAAAGTTGACCAACCTTGATAACATCCCTCATCTCACCATAGCCAGCATCCAATTCCTCGACATCCAAAAATGGATGCAGCAAACCATCCAAAAATCAATACTTGAATCAATAAAAACTCTCAGCAGTCCTCTCCTGCACATAAACACACACGTGTTAGATCGCATACAATTGAACAAACAGTAGCTCACAAGTCACAATTAATCGTCCAATCGATCCCTTGACAACCAATAAAACAAATTAAAATGGAGGGGAGGGGGAAACTTTAGCTAATACCGCCAATTAAGTTAATGAATAAAAAAAACGAAAACAGTTGTGCCCAAAGAGAAAAGTGAAGAACAAAACAGAGAAAGTCAAATATACCTTTTACATTCCCACAATTGAACAAAACAATAAAAATCGGTTAATACACACGAAGTTCCACAGCTAAAAATGCTCAGTAACTAATCAGAATAATCAATCACATAAAAAGATAGAAAAACTCACAGTATAATCCAGCCGTTTCGTACCGTAGTATTCGGCCACTGAATGATAAATCAGATGAAATGGATGGAGATCTAAAGGGAATAAAGCAGTACATGTGGGGTTTTGAAAGCTTTAGATCTATATCCTTCAAATCAAACGCTCCCAGATTGATATATCTTTGAGGTTTTCTTCTTCTTCCCTCTATTTTCTTCGCAAGCAAAATAGTAGAAGAATTAAGAATCGGAGTGGAACAGAGAGTATATGAAATGAAAACTGGGTTTGGATGTTAGATCTTAAAAGGCTGACGAAATGAAAACGAGCGAAGCAAAGCGATGGCTAAAAGATGGGCATAGCCAGCAATGCATACGGGCAGCTATGGCTCCACACGCGGACATATATTTATATAAATATTATCACTAAAAAAATCTCCAACGCTTCATATTAACTTTTTTATTTAACAAAATTACACGTACTTCATTCTCAATTATTCAAGATTTTTAATAGGGTAAATTATAAATTTGATAACAGAATTTTACTCTCTCATATTTCATTCAATGTATTTTAATTTTTTTCAATTTTTTTACTGAAGTTAATATATTGATTTTTTTGTCATTCAACTGTTAAATAGTTAATGGCGTTAAAATAAACTGTTAAATTAATGTAAAATGGTATCGTTTTGGTAAAAAAATCATTTTTAATAACATCGTTTTTAACGCATTTAACTATTTAATGAAGGTTTGATCAGAATAGGAGATAGAGTAAAGTTTAGTGATAAAAATCCTAATGTATTAAGTTTAGTGAGAAAATTGAAAACTTTTAAAGTTAAGTGAGCAAAATAGGAGAAATGAAAAGTTCAGTGATGAAATTTGTTATTTATCCTTTTTAATAATGTTGTTTTATATTATTAATTTTATTTAAATATAAAATTTTATTTTTATTAATATTTAAATAAAGCTATAATATCAATAATAATCAATACTAAATTAAATTATAAAAAAAATAAACGTAAATTAGTTTAATATTAGATAAGAAATTTAAAATTAAATTATATAAAAATAAAATTTAAAAAACTTAACATATCATTCAGTCTTTAATTAAAATTAGATAAATTTAATTTAATAATTTTTGATTAAAGAAAACATTTGTAAATGTTAAAGGTCAACGGATATTTATAGTAAAAACTGATACAATATATTATAATTGGTTGAATTTTTTTTATTAATATAAGATGATTACAAGTCTCAATATTTGTTCCAGAGATTTTTAACCATTTGATAAAAAATATTTAAATACCTTGTAGTCGTGATGCTTAAACTCGTGATTTCTTTAGATACCATTAATTCCTTAATAATTAAGGTCGTTTAGTTTGTACAATTGGTTTATCTGAAAAACATACAAATATGTTTTGTGGGGGGGGGGGAGAATCCAATCAAGTTAGATGTCAAGGGTGAAAATTGTAAAAATATTTAATTAATAATTAATAATTAATATTTTATTTTTTATTTTCTTATTTAATTATAAGTATTTAATTTGTTAATTGAATATTCTGGATTAAATTTTTTATTAAAGATTCATTAAAGTTTTTAATTTAATTTATTTCATTTATAAATGTTAAGATTTGCATTCTTTATTTTATTTACAAATTTTATTATCATATTTCACTAAATCATCTCATTTTGATAATAATTAACATTTTATTGAAGATAACTAATTGCATATTTTATCTTTTAGGGGCTAAGGCTCCTGCTCCCGGTGCCTTCCTGAATCCAGGTAACGAGATAGGTGTCCTGAAAAGTATAGGTACACGTGTGCACCCATGTTAACGTGCAAGTGGCCAGTATCTTGTGGATTCATAATTAATATCATAGGTTGTTTTCATGTTACCAATAAATAAATAGTACCACACGTGTTACGACCACTGCCATTTTCCTAAAATCTAGACAGCTTTAGTTATCAAATTACTCTTCAGTTGGACCATCCATGTGCTTTTGTATAACCAAAGATTATTAGTGGGAGTAATGTGGCTGTGGCGGGTTTTCTATGATTTATTATTATTGTTTTTGGTTTACATGAAAAAATTGTGATCGATGGTTTTGTAAAGTAAGGATGGATGGATGGATATGAGGTGGGTGATAATAGTAAAATAAGTCGAAGATTATTATATTTTGTATCGTGATTTATATATTTATTTTTAATGTTAATGTCAGATCTAGGACGATGATATGTGTTTATAGATTGATAGAATAAGTATATATGACCACTATATAATAAATTTGATTGATGATGAGGTTGACAACGATTATGTCATTTTGTAATTTGGGTGATATGAAATTGTAAAGAATTTTAAAAACTTTAGAGATCTCGATATGAGGAGGATTGATAATAAAGGTGTAATTTATGAATAAGATTCGTATGAGGTACAACACTCGTCCTCCATTAAACGAGAGCATGTCATAAAATGTTGGGAATGAAGAATTGCATAAGAGATTCGCGTTGTTCTTTTAGAGACCGACATAAAAGGTTACGAACAAAAGAGGAAGGTGATTGTTCAGGAAATAGAGATACTGACAGTGGATACCAGAGCTATGATGCCAGGGAGAGTGCAAGTAAATTATAGCTCGAAGATAAACGTATGAAGTTGATAGTTTAGAGGCTAAACCACGAAAGTTCAATGGCTGATTGAGGCGATAAAGAGAGAGATGTGGGAGGACAATGATCTTAGAGAGACATCGTCACAAATGGTTTCACTTTGAATTTGAAAGATTTAGATACTCTCAAATAGGTGATGGAGAAAACAATAATATCTGAACACCATATATATTATTTTTAAAATAATCATTTAATTTGAAATAAAAATAATATTACATTATTTAATTTATCATAATTATATTTTTAAAATAAAATATTTTTTTATTTTGAAATAAATAAAGTATATACAGGGTCAACGGCAAAAGGGAAAGCAATAGGCTGAGCAACAAATTCCTTACCACAGCGGGTTTATGACTTCTCATTAAGGGTCAACTCATTGATCGGCTATCAGAATAAAGTTTGTACTCCTTACCACAGTCTAGAAAATGCCTGATGCATATAGATTATTAATTGATTTAATGAAATGAATTTTTTATTTTTAATAAAACTAATTGAAATAAATTTTAATATTATATAGAAAATAAATTTTAATTTTAAAATATTTTATAATATTTCATTTGAATTAATAAAAATTTATAAGAATACACAGACTACATTATTTTGGAAAAACCACAATCTTAACGGCCAATGGGATGCTACAAAGCTGAACAAAAAGTTTTATCTTCAAAATAAGGGTTAACTATACGATTGATCACTTATATTTGAGTTTTATTCAATTTTAGTCACTGATTTCAAAATACATAAGATATGATCACTTACGTTTTTATTTAAACAATATTTGATCACTTACCTTATCGAAAGTTAAATATTTAGTCATTGCAATTTTAAGGCCGCTAACCATTAACATAATGATGACCTGGTTAGATAATTAAGTAAAATAAAAAAAAGTCATTTTCACGTAGATTAAAAAATAAAGTGAATGTTTGACCCATTTTTTTGACACCTTAAACTAATTAAAGTACAAATGGCACTGTAATCTAAGTCGGTATCTTATAGCATATGATCAAATATATCTTATAGCATATGATGCAGTGGAGAGTGAAAACTATGCATCTTGTTTAAATAAAAACGTAAGTGATCATATCTTATATATTTTGAAGTCAGTGATTAAAAGCGGACAAAATTTAGAGATAAGTGATCAACAATGTAGTTAACCCTAAAAATAAAATATAATACACTTTTATGTGCTTAAATGGGTTTGGAGAAAGGAGAGAATAAAGAATGACCAAATTGATATGATTCAAAATATTGATTTTAAATATTATGAATTAGGACTAAATTGACAAGATATAAGTTTTAAGATCAAAATTGTTATTATATTAATTCACATTATCATATATTTAAATTAAAATAAAAATTGAAAACTAAAATATGAATTTTTTTTCTCAAAAAATAATTAAATAATTTAAATAGAACATAAAAATAAATAAACAATTTACACTTCCTTTTACCATCTGTAGCTCTATTGTTCATTCAACCAAGTGTAGGTCTAATTTTGACCGATGAAATATTAGGACTCATAGTTAAACGTCACTAAAAGTCTAAACCTGATGAGTTACATTTTTTTATGTAAAATAAACAATTCTTATGCATAATTTTATGTAAATTAAAATTTTAGTATAAATCACAAACCACTCATAATAATTAATAACGTATCGAGAAGTGATAAGCGTAATTGTTTTAATTGAAATTTTAATTTTGTATATAATTAATGTGTATATATATATTATTAATAGTCCAATCTAACATATTTTAAATCTAAAATATAATTTTTTAAATTTACATTCGATATAAAAGCTTACTTATAATCCTTAAACTATTATTTTTAATAAACCATTCAATTAATTTTTAATAAATGGAAAAGAGACACGGAAACATGAATACGAAGGGCCAATGAATTAATTGATATGCTTACATGGCAAATTTTGATTGGATTATAACCTATTTACCTGAGAAAACAAATACAAACACTACTAGTTCGAGTTGTACCGAAAGTAGAAAAACAAATTTCAAAGATTGAATTATCTGTTTGATTAGCAAGAGATATTGGCTAAAGGAAAGAATCTAAATTGGCCAGAGCAGAAAATGCTGGGATTCTTAATTCCTAATTTAGCATCAGGTTTTACTTGAATTATTATTCATTTGAAGCAATCTGAATATTAGACTGTTATGCATGAACATAGGGAGCCTTAGAGATTGGCTTATGCGAAGTTATATGTGAAACTTATATATCTATCAACGTATGTAGTTTTGGATTCTGAGGCTAACTTTTGCAATGTTACCTTAATTGTAGGAGAGTAGAACTGCATCATCTTCCTCTTCTCCACAGAAACAAGTCAGGCACAATGCCAAGTTGAATTCAAATTCGACCCCAAACCATGTGCAGAGAACTGTATTTGCGCCTTTTAGTGGTGGAAATGATCAACGTCCCCCACAGAATTCATTCCAACCTCGTCATAGCGTTCCACATCAACAAGGAGAAGGTTCTCACCATTTCAATTATGGAGGAAGGCGCAATCAAGACCATGGAAACCAAAATTGGAATAGTAGGAATTTTATTAACGGGGTGGTCATATGCGGCCAAGGGGTGTTCCTAGGTTTATGAGGCATCCACCGCCACCACCTCCCCAGCTAACACCGGAGCACTTTTTGCTCCCCCACTTGTTCACTCTTTTGGCACCCCCATGGGCTTTCATGGTAAG